AGGAACACAATCCCTAGGGATCCAAGTATGCAAATAGCACCCACATTGGGCCCAAAAATCTACGAATATTTCCCATGTTGGGCTATCTGGATCTTTAGGGAATTTCTAGCGCCATGTCGAATTGCGGTTCCAAGTTTCCCACCTGCTCGTCATGCATGGTTGCCGTACCCTCAGCGGTTCTGGGGTTTAGGGAAACTGACCAAGATCCCTGAAGATTACCATTGCTGTTTGTGATACGCTCTCGCGTCAATTATCATAACGCTGAGGCGCTGCATGCCGGATCGCATCGCATGCGGCGTTGTCGTCAGCCGCGCGCTAAGGGCATAGTGCTCATGAGCTTGCAATGACCTGGTCGTCCCGCGTAATGTAGAAGCCTAAATAGCTGTCAACGGTATCCACATATAATTCCGTTATTATCAGAATATGGTTTACCTTCCTAGTTTTACACAATATAGTATCTCAAAAACCCTTCTTTTATGTAGGCCCCTGTATTATGTGACAGATTTCAGGCCCGGACAGTTTTGAAAGAGGTTCCTGAGAGTTTTGCCAAGGTGCATGCGCAGCAGCTGCCAAGACAGACCAGGCCAGAGCAAATCCGCGAGCCTAGATATGCGCAACCATGCAGTCTACAATCGATTTCCTAGCCGTGCAAACCCTAAGTGTCCAATTACTCAAACAGTGCATACCTCAAGGTGTCTCTATGTAAACGGCCCTGGGTGCAAAGAACATCACATGTGCCTTGACTGCTTGCGCCATGTTTAGCCCAAATGGGCGGTCCCCGCAAAAGGATTCAAACACAAACTTGTAATGGAGCCTGCAGCAGCATTCTTGACCGGAAGCGCATATCCACAGCCAACACTAGCTGCCCTGACCCCAGACTATCAACCTGAGACCCTAAACCCTCCCACATTAGCCTGCACACTGGACTTAGCAAGTAGGTTAATAATGGGGATTGGCGTTATTACATGGCTTATAAAGGCTCTCAAACTTACTAAGTCCCCTGACCCTCCAAGCAGACCACCCGAAACGGATACAGAACAAATAGCAATAATCGCAAGCATAGCGACATTAGCTTTTAAAGAGGGACTATCGGAGGGCCTGCGTGGATGGAGGCTTTGCGACTGCTTCGTTCCGTGAAGGCTCTCTCCGTAGAGGCAGGGTCTGCCAGCTGCTTACCCCCCCTTGGACTGGGTTGCTGTTGAGGAATTTAAAGTTAAGTTACTATAATAAGGAAACCCTATTGTTCAGGGTTTAGGAGTTGAAGTTCAGGGTGTAGGGTTAGTAAAACAAGGAAACCGCATTCTTTATTTTGTATCCAGAAAATGGTAGCTTTATTTGAGTTCCCTAACAGCAATCCTAAACCATAAACCTCTGTTTCCATGTCATTTTCCATGTTCTTTCCATTTGATTCTCCATTACTAGGGGGCAATGTCCCTATGTGGGTACTGGTCTAAATTCCCTATAATACGGGGTCCTATATTTGGGTTCCCATTATAATACGGGGCCTTATATAAATTTCCCCCATTTTGGGAACAGTAATTTAGGGAAACTACCATGTAAGCCCTAATTTGAGTTCCGTAGCTGCAACCCAGTAGATCTATCAACCCAGTGGCTGAGCTTGAGTTCAAGGGTTTAGGGTTTAGGGTTTAGGGTTTAGGGCCTCGGGCTTGGGGATAGGGATAGGGATAGAAAGATGCAAACCTCCCCTTTGCCACGCCCAAATGGGCTATAGTCTGAGCTCCTTAAACGGGGCCACATGGGGGATTATATGGGGACCACTGTAGGGCATATTTAGGGTAGTTACTTGGAGTTTAGACCCTAAACCCTGCACCCTCAACCCTAATGTGGAGGTTGGGTGATAGCCGTTCTGGGCTTAGACGCGCTTCTAACTAGTCGGGTTCTTGTTCCCACGGTTTTTTGCCCTAGACATCCTAGATACCTGCGAACTACTGCGACCTTGAACCCCAGTCATACTGCATAGGCCATTATTTATGGTATTTAGGGTTTAGGCTTTGGTAGCTGAAAGTTGCAGATCTGCGTTCGGTACCCTAAACCCTTAAACCTAATGAGATTTGGACTTCTAGCCCACAGGTGCACGCAAATGCTGCCATTGCCAGCTTGGCCACCACAGGGTCGTCGCCTGAAATCTGGGGGTTTAAGTTTTAGGGTTCAGGTTTTGGGACTAAGGACTGTCGTAGCGTCCTGAATAATTTGAAGCATTATCACCTTGCACTCCTGCTAGATCTAAAACACAATGTGCCTTATTCTTCAGGAAGGGAGACGTTCTGGAGGATTTTGGGGTTGAATACATGCCTGTATTGATAGTATATGATTAGGCTTCAGGGTTTCGGGTAGGGTTTACCGGATTCTGGGGAGCAAAGGACTGCTGGGAGATTGGTGCGCCAGGCATCTATGAGAAGCTACGATAGGTTCCTCAGATGAGATGCACTTGCCTAAGGGTCCAAGTAGCTGCTTGCCTAAGGGTCCAACTAGCTGCTAGTCATAGCATGCCCCAAAACCAAAACCCTTAACTACCACCAAAGCCAAAGCATGAACTCCTTGGTGCTGACGGTTCACAAGAAGACATCAGACCCCAAGTGGTCGTAAGCCGAGTGTCCGGGCGAACTGAACAAGAAGGAATCTGGCCTCCTGTATTTTTTCTATGCACCTGAACCTCCAGTAAACGCGACAAATCTTACACCGTCCTCTACTGCGTTTTCCCAAAATTAGGGATACCCTTCTTGGGGTCCCTACAATAAGGATTAAAGTATTTGGCGTATATTGGGCTTCGTCCATTCAGGGAAACTAGCAAAGACTCCATGCATATTTGCCATTCGTTTTGTATCCTAAGTTGTGTCCTCCATCCACGTGGCATTTGTGATGATTAATTATAAGGCACCTGCAGTACCCTACAAAGCATAATCTCTATAGCGCCTTATGCCTAGTTGCCATTCGATTTTCCATGGTCTTTCCCACTTGATTCTCCGTGTTTGGGTCATAAGTTAAGCCCCCAGACCATAAACCCTAAACCCTAAACCCTAAACCCTAAACCCTCCCCTCCCTCTTACAAATTTGGTGTTAGGCGCTGGGCCGAGACTCTGGGGTGGCTCGCTGAAACGCAAGGCACCTCGGAAGTTTTTTCCCTTATCAGTTCTGAGCAAGGAATAAGGGAATATATGAGCTATAGTCTAAACTCCTTAAAAGGGGTTATATAGGGGATTATATAGGGGACTACTATAGGGGATATTAAGGGGGATACTAGGAGTTTAGACAATGGCTCATATCATGTACCTGAAC